CCCAGATGACCGTTATCTGTGGCCTGGGTCTGTGTGTACCTTTCTCAGGAAGACACAATTCATGACAGTGAAACAAACGGGACTCGGAAGGCGTGCAAAGTTCCTGGGAGACATCATGTTACAAAATTGTTCCACATCCATGAAAGGTTACCTACAATTTAAAAGAAAAAGGTAGAACTTTCTGCAGTGACAGTGGATCTCCAAGATACACTGTTATTTGGAAAAAAAAGCAAAGGAGAGAACAGTGTATATACTATGTACTCTAAAAAGGGGTGGTAGGGTGGATGTATATGCTTATATGTGTACAGTGACCCAGGAGGGCCACACGAGAAACCACTAACAGTGGTTGCCTCAGGAGGGAAGAACTGGGTAGCAGGAGTCGGGGGAGGGAGCAGGAGGCGATGGGGGCAGGTGGCGAGGGGGACTTTCTTTTCCGTGTATACCCTTTCGTGCCTTTTGAATTTTGCACCATATACATATAATACCCATTCAAAAAGTAAAGTTAATAAAACCACAATGGCTCTCTCCAACAATGGAATACTATACAGAAATGAGAATGAACCAACATCATGACAGCGTAATGTTGAGTGACAGCAGCCAGATGCAAAAGTATATACTGCGTGACTCCGTTTATATAAAATTCAAAACCAGGCAAAACAAATCTATGTTGTTAAAAATCAGGACCGTGATTACACTTGCGGGCGTAGCGACAGGAAGGAGCACAAGGGGTGTCGAGAGGCCGGGCATGTTCTGTTACTTGATCTGGGTGTGGAGTCAGAGGTTGCAGTTTGCGAGGATTCACTGAACTGTGCACTCTGCTGTACATGTTACACATCAAAAGAAGGTAAAAACAAATTTAAAACACCATGATGGCAAACTGAGTGATTAGAAAACCACTGAAAAATAAAAACAAAACGTGTGTCACCTTGCTGTCGAACATTTCTTCTAAAGAACACACCTCCAGTGCCGCACCAGAGTTACACCTGGACTGCATCCCAGTCGTCCCCTTAGGCCCAGGAGCGGTTAGCAGAGAGGTTGGCACTCTCTGGGAGCAGGTGACGAGTTGGCGACAGAGCCTCCTGTGGCTACCACGAACAAAAAAGGCATGTGGGGCTGTCACGAGCAGAAGACTGAACCCCATGTGGTAACACCCCGAGGTTGCATAATATTGTTTGGAGGAGAAAATTCAGGGTAGTAGGAAAACCCACAGATCAGTCTACGTGTCTTGGTGTCCGGAAATTTCTGCCTTACCACTTGCTTGAAAAGAACCAAAATTAGCGTTCGGTGAATTTGGAGTCACCCTGCATATTGGCAAGTGCCAAATACAATCAGATTTTCCAAAGAGTCTCTAACGTGGGATAAATTATCAACAGCTGCGATGCTGCTTGCTCCTGCATTTGTTCCCTGCAGTTTATTCTCAACGTGGAAGCCAGAAGGATTCTCTGAGAACCTAAGTCAGAGTCATTCCTCCTCTGCTCAGAGCCCTTCAGTGGCTCCCATCTCGTCTCCAGTAAAAGCTGAAGTCCTTACAATGGCTTTCAGGCCCTAAGTGTGTTGGGGGCCCTCTACCACCACCCCATTAGCTCACCTCCTACTTGTCTCCCCCTGGCTGACTCCACTCCACCCACACTGGCCTCCTTGCTGTTCCTCCAGCCCGCCAGGCACCAGCCTGCCCTGCAGTCTGTGTTTCTTCCCCAGATGTCTGCATAGCTCACTCTGCAAACATGTCACCTTCTCAGAGAGGCCTTCTTGGATCACTATTTAAATAAAAACCTCTTGCCACTGCCTGCTCCCCCAGCTGAGGCATTCCCCATTCCTCTTACCTGTTTAATTTTCCTCCATAGCACTCATCATCTGACGTATGTTTTACTTACTGATTTCAGTCTTTCCCGACTATGTGAAGCTCCAGAGCACTGATCTATTTTTGTCTGTCTGTCCACTGCTATATAGCCCCAGTCCCTAAAACAGTGCTTGGCCCGGGAGAAGGCGCTTTGTAAATAATTATTCAATGAATGAATGAACAAATGAATCCATTCACTCCCGAGTCTACAGGTCCTGTCCCTGTGCTGACAGTCTCCATGCTTCTGTCTCCAGCTTCATGCCTGACTCCTCACTGCCTCCTGGATGCTGCCCCTTGATGTCCCAAAGTCACATCAAACCTGGACATCCCAACCAAACGTATCACCTTCTTAAGCTGCTCCTTCTCTGGGTTTCAGTGACAGCTGCGATACCTCCCTCAGTCTTCCAGGCCAGAGAATCCTGTGCCTCATTCTGGCCTCTCTGGCTCCCTCACCCCCCCATGTCCTGTCTCTCCTGCTTCTGGTCTCTCTGCTCCCACTGCAACTGGGGTACAGAATGGAATGTGGTTTTCCTGGGGTCACCTGATCATAGGAGAGCCCTGCAGATTCATCACTCAGTAATAATAACAGGAATCCCTCCCTTTACACAAACACTTACATGTTCACAGAGCACTTCTGCAGACATTATGTCACCGGATTTTCACAACAGCCCTGGGCTTAGATCTCATTATTCCCAATGGACGGATGAGAAAACGGGTTCAGAGAAATAAAACAATTTGCCTGAGGTCACAGAGTGAGTAAGAGGGAGAGCTAAGGACTTGAATCCAGGTCCCAAGACTAAATTGTCAGCAACCTGTATCTCCCTCAGTTTACAGTATTGGCTCTGGGCAAGTTGTATAACCTCTCTGGGCCTCAGTTTCCTCATCTGTAAAATGGGGATAATAACAGATCCTAGGTCATGGAGTTTTTATGAGGATTCAATGAGTTAATCCATGTGAGGCATTTAGAATGGTGACTGGCAGTTGTAACATTGAATAAATGTTAGCTCTCATTATTATTACTATGTTAGGGACTTAGGAGATGTTTCAAGTCCCAAAATCATTCAGAAAATCTCGTAGGTCTGTATATTTTTCCTCAGAAGAGAATCGTCAGCTTCTCTCTAATTCTCAAAGGCTCTGTGACTCAAAAGTTTTTCAGAACCATGGGACAAGAGAGACCAAGAATATGTTCAACACAATCATGTAAGCCTTGCCCCCGAACATCCTCCAAAACACCCCTACATTCAGAAATAAGGAATATGGCCAAAATCAAGAAAGCCAACGTGTGAATACAAAGCAGTATGACAGAGTGGTTAAAAGCACCAAGAATGGGTTCAAGTCTTAGTACTGCCATTTATTAACGGTGATAACGGTCCCTACACGATACTGCTCTTGTAAAGAGCGAGCTTGTGCAGATAAAACACCCAGGCCTGCACCTGGCAAAGAGCAGATGCTTAAAACACACTTAGCTCTCTTCTCCCACCAGTTTCTTATCCCTGACAGGAACAGCCTGTTTGGAATTCTGTAACCATCTCAGGTCAAACCACCCTTTCCTCTTTGCTTCCCTCCACGTTCACAAGGCTATGGTGCAGATTCGGTGAGAGCATGGACAAAGGCACCCAGAAAGAGCCTGGCCAGCATTCCAGAAATGGTAGCTTAAACTGGCCACTTCACATCTCCCCTCCGGATGCTTCAGTTTCCCCATCTTTGAAATGGGGTTGATTGGCTTAGATGATCTTCCAAGACACCTTCCAGCCCGCAGCCCACCGACTTTAGAAGGCAGGATACATGGCAATGATTCACTCTGTTCCGGCGGAGGAAACTGAGGCCCAGAAGGTAGAAGCCATCAACTTGGGCCACACGCTGATTCCTATGGTCATCCTTGGCCTAGCGCCTGGATCACCTTCCTCCTCTGCTAAGGGGCACAGTGACCACGCTGCCCATTTTCCAGGTAAGGAAGGCAAAGTGCCTGGACTCACTGCCAGTTGGCTCAAGAGCAGAGTCCGGGCCCTGGGTCTCCAGACCCCTATGAAGAAGAAGATGGGGGGGAGTGGGGGCAGGATCACCTGGAGCACCACAGAGATGGTCTTCTCGCCCGCCTTGGCTGCCCGCCATTTTCGGTAAGTGTCGGCCTTGAGAAGGTTTTCTGCACAGTGGGTCTGGAGATAAGAGCGGAAAGGGGAAAATTAGGGTACAGAGATGCAGGCCCCAGCTCTCAAATTATTCATTTCAGTCCTCCCAAGCCCCCTGTGACCCCCCTAGATTTAGGTTTCCCCGTTAATCCCCGCCCCCACTCTGCCTCGAGTCCCCTACAGCATTGTCCCCTGGACGTTCACCTCTGGACTCTCCAAGCAAGCTCCCCTATTCCTCCTTTCCTCTCCGGAAGTCCCACAGCCGCCCAGAAGTTCCCCTATTCCCCATCTCTCCCAGAATTCCCTAGAGCGTCCTGGAAATCCCTCCACGACCCTCCTCAGACTTCCATGAAGTTCCCTTTTACACTCCAAAAGTTCTTACAGAGCCCCCTGAGAATTCCCTTACGTCTTCCAACCTCCCCCACGCCAGTCCCTCACCGAGTCCTGGCTACTGCAGGACACTACATGGCGGAGGCGGATCTCCGGCATGTCAACGTCGTGGGCTTCGCCAGGCCCGAAGGATGAAGAAGGGTCCGAGTTTGGGGGGCGGGGAGGGGGTGCTCCCTGCGCGGGCCTAAGTGCGCAAGCGCGCGAGGCTCGGGCCTTTCAAACCGCGGCGCGCCCGCGCTCGCGTCGACACTGCGCAAGCCCAGTCGCGCCTCTCCGGAGAGAGGCGCCAAGTCCCCTAGCAACGAGCTTCTCCTCTAGCCCCGCCTCTCATTGGCCCCACCACTCTCTAGCCCCGCCTCCCGATGACGCAAACACTCTGCTTTCTGGGCGCCTAGCAACAGGAGCGGCTCCCAGGATTGGGCCCTAGAAAAAACTCGCCATTCTCATTGGATGACGCAGTCACCGCCCAAACCGAAACCTATAAAGAGAAAAAAAGGACCGCAAACCTGAGCGACTTTTCTCAGGCAGTCGGGAGCCTTTCGCAACAGGATCCGTTTCACCGGTTCCTTGTGGCTACACTCTTCACCGCACACACGAAAAAAATCTCTGATCTCTCTCAGGGGTACGCCTGAGGCCAAGAGAGAGTGGGTTAAGGACCTAAATAAAACACAAAGCATGCGCCCAAACCAGACACACACGCCCAGCCTGGGTGCTTCAACCCATGCCTCAGTTTCCCAATCTGACGCGTGGGCATCTGTCTCCCGCCACGCCCGCCCCTGCCCGTTGACAAGCACCCCTCTGTTTGGTCCCCGCGAGACCCAGGGATGCAGCCCCAGGCGGGGTCCAGCCCGAACACAGAACAGGGAGCAGAGCCAAGATCTCAGAGAAGGGAAAGGAGACAAGGCTCCGGGCCCCCGCGGAACGAGCCTGGACATGCTGGGCGCTCCCAGGTAGGGCCCCACCCACGCTGGGCGCCTTCTTGGGCAGAGAGAGGAGGGACGGGATGTCAGTGCTTGCAGCTGCTCTACACCTGCAAGAAATCAAGTGACCTAACTCTGACCTTGAGCTTCAGGCCAGGAAAAAAAGGGGGGGGGGGGCGGTGGGAATGTGAGAAAACTGGAAAGTGACCTTCTGGGTCCTTGATGGAAGAGGGGGCTGGAAGCCCAGACTCCTGGGGTCCCCAGGGAGGAGGGGCTGGGCACAAGATGCCTCTGTCCCTTTCAGATTCTGGTTCCACTGCCCCAACCCAGAGTCGCAGAGGCCTGCCCTGAGATCTTATCTCAGCTGTTTATCACCCCAGGGTGAAGGTGGGTCCTGACCCGCCCCTCCTCAGCTTCCTATAAGGGCTGGGGACCAGGACTGCAGGTTCACACACCATGAGTCCCTCCACCCTCCTGCTGGCCTCCGCGCTGCTCTGCACCCTGCTGGGTCTCGGTAAGTGACTAGGGGCCTGGACTCCTAGGACCTCAGGAGAGAGAGGACTATGAGAGAACATTCAGCAAGGTCCTCGAGGGGAAAGAGGAGGTGTTGTGGGAATTCAGATTCATGGCGAAGGCAGAGGCTCAAGGAAGAGAAAGCCTGGGGCCCCAGGAGAGGAATGGCTCAAAACCTTATGTGATTGGATCCCTGAGAAAGGAGGGCACAGGGTGGGCTCTGAATCCTCTGTCCCCCAGGCAGCATCTTGAAATAAGACATTTGAATTCTAGAAAATCTCATGAGAGCATGACTAGAAAGAGAAATATTAAAAAAAAAAAAAAAAAAAAATTGGAGAGAGGGGAAGAGATTTCCTTTCTCCCTGGACTCTAGGGAGTTCAGGCCCCCGGCCCCTCCTCCCTTAGATGCAGGAATTCAAGCAAGCCCCACCTTCCCCAGGAGCCAGCTGTGTGGGCCCCCAGTTGCCTCCTCTCTCAGGACCACCGAGTCCACGCCCTCAGCACTCCTGGTCCTCGCTCTCCCTTCTTGACCTGGGATGCAGACCCCAACCTCAGGTGCCCCTGCCTCAGCTCCTACTGTCTGCAAGAACTTCGCGCGGGACCTACAAGGAGGAGGGTCCCACGTCCAAGAACCAGCTGGACCTCAAGCTGCACAGAAGTCCACGGAAACTTCGCCAGGACCCTTCCCTATGCCCGAGCTTAGCGTCCAAACTCCCCAGCCTTGTAATTAAACAGGCTCCCTGGTGGAGTCGCTTCCCGCCCCTGGAAACAGCTTTGCTGGCACCACCACCACGTCCCTGTCAGAGCTGCGGACAGTCCCCTGGACAGCAGTCAATGCCCCGTCCATTAAGAATGAGGAGACACCTGTCCCTCAGGACCCAAAAGTCCGGCCCCCCTGCCCCCATCGCCCTCTGGACTCTGAAGTCGATGTCGTGGTCCGCACCACACCACCCATGTCTACAGCCCCACCCTCTACACTGCAGGGTGCCCGCTAAGCTGTGAGATGTGCAGGGCCTCCGGACCCACGTGCAGCGGGAAGACGAAGACTTGCGAGGCCGGCAAGGACGCATGCGTGATCGTCGTGGGGGAGTCCAGCACGAGTAGGCACGCGGGGCGCCAGACCCCGGGGAGGGGTGTGCCCTCAGGGTGGAAGATACCACCGCGCGAAGTGGGGGGGGGGGCATCGCGGGTCCCGTGGTGGGTGGGCAGGGAAGAGAGAAGGCTATCTCGAGGCAGACGGAGGGAAGTGAATTCAATGGGACGACAGAAACCATTGTTGTCAGAACTCAGATGGGAGTTCTGAGTTCTTCAAAAGAAGATGGGAGGGCAGATATGGAGACTTTCTTAGGTAGGAGGGGTGAGGAAAGGACACGGGGGAACAGAGAGATAGTGAGAGGGGAAGAATCTAATAGGCAAGAGATGGGCAGGGGGCTAGAAGAGAAGGAAGAGGCTGGGGTGGGTTGGGAGGAGTGTGATCATGTTGACCATTTTGGGCGGCAGGCAATGGCCAGGGGAGGAGGGGGGTGAGGGAAGTACCGAATAATCCGCTCCAGTCTGTACCCCAGGGAGATGAGGGAGCATGGCTTTCGTCGGCTGGAGGAGACCACCCTAGAGAATCACAGGTGGGGGAGGTGTATGGTTGGGAGAGACCCCGAGGTCGGGGTTGACGCCAGGGTGGGATCGGCCAGCGCCACCCGAGCCCTTCCCTCCGGTCCCCCATCCCGCAGAGGGCCGCCACTCAGTGAACACCTACAAGGGCTGCATGAAGTTCAGTGACTGCTACTCGGGTTTCGTCTCCACCACCACGGGCTCCCAGGACTACATGGTGTCCACCACGTTCTGCTGCCAGAGCGACGGCTGCAACCAAGGCTCCGTGCCCCGTAAGTGCCAGCCCAGCCCCGCATGGGGAGTCCCTTCCAGCCAGCCCCAAGAGCCCACTGTGTGTGCTCTGACCTGCCACTGACTGGCGCTGTAACATTGGGCAAGCATCTTGCTCTAAGCCTCAGTTTCCTCACCTGTAAAATGCAGTGTCCATTAGCATCCGGTGTTCCCCAGGCTGTTGTGAGGTTGGGGAAGGGTCTAGACGACCCTATGCACCTTACACTCCACCCTCATCCCCAGCTCCCCAGAACAATCGTACTGAGAACGGCCTCCACTGCCCTGCCTGCCTCGTACCCTTCCAGGAGACATGCCTGGGGACCCAGGCAGCCCGCTGTGTTGGCCAGGAAACCCACTGCGTCTACTTCGCTGGCAACGTGCAGGCTGGTGAGAGGCACCTGGCTCTCTGGAGGAGGTTACAGGGCCCCCAGAACTGGAGGCCCATACTTGCAAGTTCTAGGGAAGATGGTGGCTCGCGGGGACTGGGTGACGAAGTGGCAGAGGCCAAGACTCCTGGGTCATAGGAAGGAGGGGATGGAAGCCCTGACTCCAGCCTGAACCCCCCTCCCAGGTATAATCAACGCCAAATTTGCTACCCGGGGCTGTGCTACAGAGAGTGCCTGCTACGCCAAGGCTGGGGCCCAGGTGCCCTCAGCCTCCTATCTCTACTTCCTCCGCCGAGCTGACTGCCTTCCTGCCCCCCGGCCCCCTGGCAGGGCTGAGTGAAGAACTGAGGAACATGTGGCTTGTGGTCTCCATTAGTCCTTGGCCTGCAGCTCCCCATGTGCCTATAAATTAAAAAGGTTAACAAAGCAAGCCTAAGTCCTCGTGATGTGATGCATCCTGGGGAGGCAGGGGATGTAGACATCGGGGGTCCCAACCCTTGGGAACCCCCTCTTTGCAAGGAACAGAGGGAAGACCCTACCTTTTATTAAGGGATTACTCTCTGCTGGGCCCCTGTGCTAAGTGTTTCCATGCTGTACCTCATTTCAGAATCACAACTCTATGTAGTTGACATTATTATCCCCATTTTACAGATGAACAAACTGAGGCACAGATTGTGGTGTCACTTGCTTTGGGTCAAACTGCTAGGGAGGGTCAGGCTCCAGAGTCCAGGATCACTTCTACTAATAACCTCTCCCTCTTTTTGCCTCTGTTTTCATGTCTGCAAAATATGGATATTAATAGTTATAACCTCAGAGTGTTGCTGTAAGAGTCAAATGAAAGAAAACCAAAAAGGCACTTAGTGCAGTTCTAGAGACAGTATGTCTGACTAAATAGTAATCATCATAATAGCTGCCACTTACTGGGTGGCCATTAGTTGGCAGGTGCTAAACATTGTCACCAATCAGGACAGACTAGATTATGCTACAGTAACAAGTCCCTAATCTCAGTGGTTTAAAACAACAAAGTTTCATTAGTCAGCCAGTGCTGCAGTGATGCTGTGTAACAAACCGTCCCCAAACTGAGACTTGTAACAACAAGCATTCTTTCTAAGCGTTTGTGGGTGGCTGGGGTGGCTCTGCTTCTGGCTGTGCATTGGATGGTTTGGCTCCAGTCTGGGAAGAGGATTCAAGTTCTCCTCCATGGGGTTCCACAATCTTCTGGGATCAGTGGCTCCCTGGCTAATGTTCTTCTTGTGAGAGATCACAGGAGCACAGAAGCCAACTGTATTTAAGGCCCCTGTTGAGATCTGGTGTGCTAACATTCCATGGAGTGAAGTAACTCTTGTGGTCATAGCCAACACGAATGGAGCAGGCAAGTGTACTCCCCGTCCAGTGGGAGGAGCGGGGTGGTATTTGTGAACAAGTACCCATGCATGAAAGGTTGATTCTTCCCTCACCCCACATGGTTGCACCATCCACAGGGCGTCTGCTCATCATAATCACAGACAGAGTGGCTATACTTGAACATGGCCAATTTTTGTGCACAGGAAAGTCTCATATGGGTGATTAAATGAATCCCAGAAGTGACTTGACACAACTCGTTGGACGGGACTATTCATGTGGTCCCACCAAACCACACGGGGACCAGGAAGTGCAATACTGCCCTGGGACATGGACATGTTTCATAAACAGCACCAATGGCCACTGTGGCCTCTTAGGGGCTGCTTTTCATTTTATCGTCACAACTCCATGTGATATGCACTATTATTATTCTCATCCCTGCTTTCAAGAGAAGAATCGGAGGCTCAGAGGAGGGATGTCACATTGGAGGTTGCACAGCAAAAAAGTGGTAGAGCTTAAGGTTGTATTGATTGGGTCATGTTGAGGGGGAAAGAGACCACATCACAGAGAAAGGGAACAAGCCTGTCTTAGTTATCTTTTGTTACATAACAAACCACTCCACATTGTAGTGGCTTAGAACAATCACCTTTAATTTAGCTCATGATTCTACTGGTTGCCAGTGTGGTCTGGGATCAGCTGGGTGGTTCCTCTGCAGGTCTCTGCTGGGTTCAGCTGCCTGTCACCTAGGCAGCTCTGTTTCAGTGGGTTGGCTGCCTGTGGGCTGGAGTGTCAAGGCTGACTGGGCCACATCTCTTATCACAGCAGGTCAGCCTGGATTTGTTGATGTGGCGGTGGTGGCAGGGGTCCTGAGGGCAGCAAGAGAGGGAGCCCCAAGGCATGAGCACTTTTCAAGCCTCTGCTTGCGTCCTGTTTGCTCTTGTCCCGCTGGCCAAGCAAATCACACGGCCAAGTGCGGAGTCAGGATAAGGGACTATCCAAGTTCATGGCTACAGAGAAGCTGAACAAATTGGTGGCATCAATGGGCCAGGCTGCTTCCAGAGCTAAGATGCTTTACCATCACAAGTCCCCAGGTCTGAACAGTCCCAGGTCCACTCCCCTCCCACGGTGGCAAAACTCAGATCCAAGTCCCTCAATTCCAGCCCAGAGGAGTCTTTCCTATACAGACCCCCACCGTCCCTCCTCTCCCAGGACGGAGGAGTCCCCACCCTTGGCCCCCTCCTCCCTCAGACCCAGTAGTCCAACGCCCAGCCCCCTCGCCCTCCAGACCCAGGAGTGCAGGCCCCCAGCTCCTCCTCCCTCAGACCCAGGAGTGCAGGCCCCCAGCCCCTCCTCCCTCAGATGCAGGGGTCCAAACCCCAGCCCCTCCTCCCTCAGATCCAGGAGTGCAGGCCCCCTGCCCCTCCTCCCTCAGATCAGGAGTCCAGGCTTCCAGCTCCAGTCAAAATCCCAAGTATCTTTTTTTCCCTTTCAAATCCCCAAAGAACAGACAAACAACGGGATTTCTACTTATTTTTATTCACTCCTCCAAAAAGCACTACAGACCAACCACACCCTTGATTCATTCACCCTGCATGGTTCCCCACCCCAGTGGACACAAGTCCCTCCATCATTATCCAAAAATGTACAAAACTCAGCTCAGGTGATGAGACTGTCTCATACTCGAGTTTTTGGTGTCTATTCTGCTTCTGGCAATGGCAACACTAAGAGTCATCATACATTTCCTTGAATTCTTGCCTTCGAGGGTCTTCCAGCCTGGAGATGCCACGTAGACACACCCTGATGGCAGCCAGCGATCAGTCCACAAGGGAGTCTTAGTCTTTTCTGCTTGGATGCTCCCAGAGACAGATGCCTCACTAGCAACCTTATGCTTCCACAAAGCCTAAAATTCAATCCCATTGTAAGTCATGATTTAAAAGGCAACCACCCCAAAAAGTAGACACCCAAGAGTGCCAATATATAACTATATACACATAATCAGCACACTCCAGTGGACAGATGCATGCAAACAAAAGTGGGTCTTGCTTTCTCTGATATGAGCTCTGGCATGATTGCCACTGGCGTGAGGACAGAGGGGATTTGGAGCAGGATGCACAGGGCAGAGAAGTCACACAGAACCAAATCAGAGATGGTGTCGAAGCAGTAGAAAAAGAGGAGGGCACTCTGTGAGCAAAGGCATGAGGCTGAGACAGAAGGTGCCCAGACTAGACTCATCTGGGTGCTGCTGGAGCCTGAGGGCACGTGGGCAGGGGCAAGGAGACTAACCTTTGAGCTCCCAGTCTTCTCAGGAGGGGCTGTGGTATGTTGACATGTATGACAGAGAATGCATGTACATACGTACATACACCGATTTCTCACAATAACCCTGTGAGGTAGATGCCATCTGCTGAGTGACTCGCCCAAGGTCACCCCCAAAGTCAGGAGAAGGACTGTCTGACCCTTGAGCTGTGCTAATAGAACTTCCTGTGATAGCAGAAATGTTCCAGGTCTGTGCTGTCCAGTGCCGTAGCCACTCACCACCTGTGGCTACTGAGCACTTGAAATGTGGCCAGTGCAACTGAGAAACCGAATTTTAAATTTTGCTTACTTTTAATTAACTTAAAAATTGACACTCATCTCCATTATTGGAAAACTATTCAATATAATTGGGACAACTTGGGTATATGAATCTACTTCTCCAAATATGAGTTTTATGAACTCTAAATAGAGGTCAGGTATTTCTGATGAAAAGTTATCACCTGAATTGTGTAAAATACACACGAGATTTCAAAGACTTAGCATAAAAGAATGTAAAATATCTCATTAATACTTTTCTATATTGATTACATGTTGAAATGATAATATTTTGGGTATATTGGGTTAAGTAAAACATTATAATTAGTTTCACCTGTTTCCTTTTACTTTTTTTTTTACTTTTCCTTTTTTTGTGAGGAAGATCAGCCCTGAGCTAACATCCGATGCCGATCCTCCTCTTTTTGCTGAGGAAGACTGGCCCTGGGCTGACATCCGTGCCCATCTTCCTCCACTTTATATGCGACGCCGCCACAGCATGGCCTGACAAGCGGTGCATCCGTACGCGCCCGGGATCCAAACCCGGACCACCAGCAGCAGAGTGTGTGCACTTAACTGCTACACCACGGGGCGGGCCCCTCCTTTTACTTTTTTAATGTGCCTACATGAAAATTTAATGTGGCTACAAGAAAATTTAAAATTACATACGTGGCTCACATTCTATTTGTACTGGACAGCGCTGCCCGGTGGCTCTCCCTCTCTTCCACATGGCTGGCACGCTTGATGGAGAGGCCTGAACGCTCAAGCTGGAGATGGGGTTACCATCCCTCGAGTATCTGCCCCTCAGATCGGTTACCCTTGTCCCCAGCTGTCAGAGGAAACAGGGTCTAGAACCATACCTACGTATGGTTCTTGTCCAGCCCTTTCATTTCACAGATGGGAAAATAAGGCACTGGTCCAAGTCACCCAGAGTGAGAGTGGCAAGGCCGCGCTTGCTTCCCAGGTCTCCTGACCTCAGACAAGGGCTCTCTCTCCCATTAGATGCTTGTTTCTCCCCCATCTTGCTCCTTTTCCCTGTCTTGTGGCAAGAGGCTGGCACTCTAAATTCCAGCCCTGGTTCTGCCGCTGATGAATGAATTAAAATATTTACTAAGCACCTGCTATGTAGCAAGCACTATTCTAGGTGTTGGGGGTACAGAAGAGAACAACACAGGCAAGGGGATAATAGCCGATAAACAGGTAAATAAATAAATAAATAAAGTGATTTTCTATTGTAATAATTGCTACAAGGAAAATTAACAGGCCGAGATGAATAATGGGGGTGTGTGAGCTACTTCAGTTAGAGCAGTCAGGGAAGGCCTCTCTGAGGGGCAGTTGGGGTAAGACGTGACTGACAAGACAGCCAGGCATTCTAGGGAGAAAGAACAGCAAGTGCAAAGGCCCTGAGGTAGGACCCAAGGTGGCCCACTCAAGCATCAGTAGGAAGATTTGTCAAGCTGGTTGGGGGATGAGGTAGGGCAGAGAATGTGAATAGGCAGGGGCCAGACCACATAGGGCCTTGCTATGTGCTGCTGGGCCTAGAGCCTGCCCTCTCTGGGCTTTGCTCTCCGTATCTATCATAAAAGAGATTCTACTGGATAGCCCCTCAGGTCCCCCCTGTTTTTGACATTGAAGGATTCTGTGACCTGTGGCTTCTCCTCTACATGTAGCTGGCAGCCTAGAACATTCCAAGCACTGTGGTTTCTGTCTTTGCCTCACTCATGGCACATTCACACGCTCTGGAACACTGCCCCACTGTTCTGTGGGTGCCTTGAACTCCAAGGCAGGGCCTCTTGGGGATACCTGAGGTAGCCAACACAGACACGTCTGGGTTAGTGCAGCAGTACAGCTGCTTTTCCAGAAAAGCAGGTGTACAAAATACAAAGGCCAGAAAGGGTTAAGGTTTAAAGACAGAGGAAACCAAGACCAAAAAAAGACAGAAACCCCTAAAGGAGGGAGGGAGAGAGGAAGACTCCCCAGAGAACCTCGGAATTGCCAGCACCTATAAAATGGGGGCAGTCATATCCCTTCTTGGCCAAACTCACAGAGAGAGAGAGGCAGTTGCCAGGATCCACATCTGTTAGGGATTTGTGGGAGAAACCTCTGAGGTGTGGGTTCCTGCCCTTCCATAACCAGAAGACCTCATTCCTGGTCTCTGGCTACCCCCAGAGCCTACCACCTCCCTCTTGCCTCCTCCCCTCATTTTTGTGGGGCCATCCTCCCCACAACAGCTGGGAAAGGAGTCTGGGTCACCAGGCCCCCAGAAGGAATAAATATTAGACCAAGAGGGACAAAAGGGTCTCTGCTCTGTCACACAGCCCCCTGCTTCCTCCTCTAGATGCAGCCCTCCCACCACGCAAGAGTTAGGAACCAAGGTCCACAGCCCTCCTGAGAGCCAGGAGTCTGAGACCCCAGAGACTGCCCCTCCTCCCAATAAAGATTCAAAGCCCACTGCCTCTTGAGGAACTGGGAGGCTGTGTGCAGGCCATTCCCCAGGAAACCTAGACTCTATATCCCTTTGTGGCTCAGAAGTCCAAGGGTTCCAGCCCCCTGGGGTACTAGACCCCCCTTCTCCACACTGGAATTCCCAGTGGATGGAGTATGATGGAGATGCCCCTCATCAGGAATCAGGGCTGCCATCCCCTCTCCCTCTGGAAGACTAGATGCCCAACAACCCCAGTTTCTACTCCCTTGGAGACCAAGATATACCCCCTGCTAGGAGTCCAACCTCTCAACTCCTTTCAGGACACAAGTCTTGGTGTCATGATCCGTGGTCCCCAGAGAAATCAGGAGTCCTGTCCCCCAGACTCTATTTGCCTTCAGGACCCAGGAATCCGGGTAACTAGAAGTCCCACATCCCAACCAGTAGCCAGAGCCCTCTTCCCCCTCGAACACCCAGGATACTGAGTGGCAGCCCGCCCGCCCCCCCGCCCCCGTTATCTCCGAGGCCCAGACACCCCATGCCAGAGTCTGGACCCCCAAACCCCTTCCTTCTAACGGGGACTTGGAGCCCCCCGGCCCCTGGTGGAGCCAAGCAGCCGGGAGGCCGGGCACCCCGGGAGCCCCGCCTTCGCCCCACCCCTCACTGCGCGGGCGCGTGGGGTGCCAGCACCGCCTCGGCATCGGCCAGCATCTCGTCGAGCGCCTGCAGCAGGACGCCGTGCGCCGCGCGGTAGCCCAGGCCGCCG